GAGAGAGAGAGAGAACTAAAGTGAGAAAGGGAGAGACAACGCGCGTAGAGAAAACGCGTGTATGTGTGCGCGGGTGATAGAGGGAGCCGGTCGTTTTCAGTCTGGTCCAGACGGAGAGAGAACGCGAGGCGGATAAAAAGAGATACGCGTGTGGAAATAGGAGACGGAGAGAGTGGAGAGAGGACCTCGGCGCTTCGACCGGGCGCTCCTCGGCCCTCCTCTGCCGCACGACGACTGAATCTTCGGGGTGGACTGGGGAGGCTGCGCGCAGGGTCGACCCCGCTCGTTCCTGCACCCCTGGCCTGTCTGCCTGCCTGCCTGTGCTTGCTTGCCTGCCGGCCAGTGGTGGCGGCGACGCGAACTACGGGGTGGACAGGGACCGTTGTTTTAGGATTTCTCTTTGCTACGGCCACGCATTTTAGACTCTCGATGGGCAAACGATGATGAAGTTTGATGATAACGCCGTTATAAATATTAATGGCGCGGGATACGGGACGTTTAAACGCACCGGAAAGCCGGAGTAAAACGCGTCGTGCTTGTTTTGTTATCTTCATCGTGATTAATTAAGCATTTCGTCGCGAATAATTAAACGTTTTGATTATTAAACGATCAAGGTTAACACTTCTCATTATTTTCGCTATTGATAATTTAATTGAACTCAATGGATATATATAATTCTGATTTTCAATAATTATTAACCTTATACTATGTTCGTATCGATAGAAGATAAACATATGTCTGAGCTGCGAGCGTGAGGCTAACATTTAAGAAAGGAAAACTTTGATTTACTTAGCTAAATCTTTTTATAAAACTCCATTGACCCTATATTTGTTCATCAAACAAAAATTGCATCAATGCGAAATGAAAACCGGGTGGAACTTTTATTGACTGTTAAGAGTACTTTCTCTTTGATCACGAACATGTCGAGTTTTATGTCTCAAGCAAATTAAAGGATCATAATGGAAAGTCGAAATAGGAAATTACATTGCTAAAGTGAAGGCATTTCGTTATATTAAATTTTTTGTTTATTTAATTACAGACTAGAAATAATGATATATTACAATTATTATGATGCAAAAATGTATATAATTAATGTATATCTCAATCCCGAAATGACAAGAGATGATAAAAAAATAATGCAGATATTAATATCAATTGTTATTACTACTACTTAACACTATAGAAATATTAATTCTTCGCAAATATAGTATAATAGATGTAATTAGAATAATATTTCACTTGTATAAGCGGCTAATGTTTGTGGCAGATTATAATGGCAAAGTAAAACAACAAGTTATACATTGCATTTAAACGTCGTTAATTTTGGAGATCTCTATATACACTAAAGTTTGTTAATAGCTTATTATTTCTCTCAAGTTTGAAATTAAATATTTTTTTGGACTAATGTATTTTGTTATTCGTGCGTTATAATTTTAATTAAAAGTATCAAAAATTTATATCGTTTTATTTTATTTTTATTGATTAATTTTATATATATAAGTTATATCATCTATCTTTAATCTTATACGTTTAATCTGGCACACATGTTTTACAGATGTCAAACTGTCAAATAAAAATCTGAATCATAATAAATATCCGGGTGCAATGCACCCGGCCGAAAATAATCCCTTATTCCCGGAAGGAATCAAAATATTAATTTTTAGTAACACATATGTGCTTTCATTTTTTAAATAAATGACCATAAGCGTACAAAGGACCGTATTAGAGAATTTAAATAAACAAAAGTTTATTTCGATTACTTGCACAAACATGATAACAAACATAATTTTAATAAATTAATACTTTCTAATATTAACGTTAAAATTTTATCAATATTTTATCGATACGTCGTAACGAAATGGCTCTCGTAAATATTATTAGATCTAGAAAGTTCAAAGATATAATATTACCCCGGATATAATTAGCTCTTCTGCATTTAGCATAGGCAAGTAGCTTGTTTATTCCAGGAGTAATAATAACTGCTCCTCGAGTCCGTATGATGTATACAGATAATGTTACCTTTCGACTTGATTTATTAATTATAGACATACACCCGCTCAATAGTGACATTAACGTCATTAAATTATATGACTGCATTGAACAATAACAAATTGGAAAAGAGAAGAATCCACAGTATATTATTTAGAAAGCCATAACCAGTCTTGCTAGAAATTCTTATTCTCTGCGGTGCAGATTTACGTGACACTTCGGTAGATTCCTATTGTCTAATATTAGATTAAAGTCTCGCGTTAATAATTTGTTCAGACATTTTTGATTCCGGCCATGTCAGTCAGATTTGAAAATTTCACAAAATTTCTCTTGTTTGCACGAGTATATAAAAATGATCGCATATTTAAATTTAAGCAGTGTCGCACGGATTTGCTTGCTGAAAAACTAGACAAAAAATAGGGCTCACTCGTTAAAAGTTTGGCGATTTTTGTTCGTTCGATTCCAACTATTGAGAATAAAAGACTACATCGGAACGTCGGTATTTAAGACGCGAAAAACAACAATTTAAGGAAACAATAGTTCGCGCATGCAACCTTCTATGTCCGTTGAGAGTACACAATTGCGAAGGGAATAGTTAAGGTGTGTTGAAATGGCGCGTATTCCCCGCCCGTATAAGCTTAAGCGCGGTATCCGATATTACATATGAAACTTTCTCTTTAAACATCGAGCCCATCTAATAAAGGCGGTTTTGCAAATTGTTAGTTAAACGCGGTGTGTTTCTATTTTCAACTGTTATTAATGTTGAGCGGCGCTGCGATATTTCAGTCAGATAATCTCCAATTATGATCGCGATAAGTTTAATGAAGTTGGATACATTTGCAGCTTAACGGGCCGCATAGTTTTTGCGTCGCGCACTCCGTGTTTTTATCTCGAGTGAAGTTTAACGGTGAAATTCGCCGAAGTCAGGCGGCGCGGTCCCTCGAGCGTTTTGCTAACGTAATGGCAATTTAAGCATCTCGAGAGTGAGTCGGTGGGCACGGTTTACCGCCTGCATAGTTTCCCGGAGTGCGCACAAGCGGCACAAGTGGCGAATTTTTGTAAGACGTGAGCCGCGAGAAAGATGACGCCCGCCCGCATCCTCGGGGGGGCCATTTCCGTTTTCCCGGGGGCGGATATCGCGCACGTACGGCAATTTCAGGCAAATTGTTTGTAGCGAAGCTTCCGCGAACTGAAACGAGGATATTAGCGATGAGCGTGCCGCGCTGAGAAAGTTTATCTGCTTCCGCCGTTCGTTTCGCGGCAACCTGCGACATCAAAAGCGATTAGTAATTTACGTTTGCTATTAGCGGACACCCTCGCAAACGTAGTTTATTACACAATTAATTAAACGTCACTGCCACTTCGAGGTTCCCCGGCAAAGTTATCAGTCGATATCGCATAATTTTATAGTACGTCCTTCTTTGCGGTCCATTAGCTCGCGTTTTGCATGCACCGTAAACCGAAAGGACACATGTATTTGCGGACTGATGAACGTTTTTCGATATACTAATGAAATCCACTCTAGCGGTATTTGTCGGCATGCATAATTAACATCTCGTTCATGGAATAAACTTATCCGCAAATATTTGCTAGTTTGGAAGTCCCACTTCGGACTTGGTTGAACTCATGGGCCACACACGTGAAATTAATCATTCGTCGTGACCCCCGACGGGGTGGAGTAAAGTCATGCAGATAATAATAGATCAATAATAATAATTCGCGCGTTTTAATCAAAATTGGCTACACAAGCGGGGATTTTAAAGCGGAACATTTGCGATCTCCTTTTTGGAAATACGACGAGGTGATCTATTTTGTGGGCCCTTTGTGCGCCCCGAAACTGCTTCTTTGCCGCCTCGTCGACGGAGCGCGGACAATATTTTCTTTCTCTTCGTCTCAAATTTACTTCGCCCCAGGGAAATGTTGCAGAAACATAACTAGAGCGAAATAACACGATGTATCTACAGAAAGCATATGCAATGAAATTACGACGAAACGGCTTTAGCAACTGTTCTTGTCCGTGCGACTCTCGGACCGACCTGGAACTTTCTTCTCTCCTTTAAGTTTTTTTTGTCGTTTCCAAGTTTCCGATTTCATCCTATATAAGTATGAGCCAATTATTCGCCAGTTCGGCATTATTGGCACAACGCGACCGTTCTCTCTCTTTTCCGTACAAATTTACATGTCCTCGGGGAAATGTCGAAGGAGCACGGCAAGATAAAACGGTACACCAGCAGGGACGAAACTGTGCGAAGTCGAAGTCGCATAAAAATTATTTATACGACTTTCACACGGCGGCTCTCACCACCCCGCGCGCGCGCGCGCGCGCGTCTCGACCTCCCCCGCGCGACTTCCATGCAATTTCTCGAAAATAGTTGCATCGTCAAATCGGCTGTTTCATGCAAAAATTAACATAAGACGCTCCGTGATGAGCCTTGAAAGGGATGTGATTTCGACGGAAAATACGCGATGGTTCGCGTCTACCAACCCTTCATGCAATTTTCCATTCCCGAAAAGAACGGGCGCCGGAACGTTTCCCACCTCTCCCGAATTCGTCCGAAATTTACTTTACCTCCGGGAAACGTTGGCGCGATATGAGCAAGATGATATAAAACTTTATGCTGAGAGGATATGTTCGTTACGAAATGGAAATTACCGGCATCTTGGCCCAGGCCGGGGTCCTTAACTCTCGGATCGCACGCCGAAGTGCCTTTAAACCCTTCGCCGGCTTAAATCTATCGAACAATATTTTCTTCCCCGGGCGAATATTTACTTCGCCCCGGGGATACGTCGCGGCCGTATAAATCGGAGCGTAACGACACGGAGGATATGTGCGCGCAATA